TCGCCTGAGAGGGAGGGCCTGCCCCAGAATTCCCCATGGAGCTTCTGTGGCTGGTGGGGGACTTGAACCAACTTGATCCAGCACCTTCCCCACTAGACCAGACTGGTTCTGGGGCTGGGAGGGAGGGACTGGCCCAAAGTCCCCCAGGAATCTCTAGCTGAGGGGGGACTTGAACCAACTTGATCCAGCACCTTCCCCACTAGACCAGACTGGTTCTGGGGCTGGGAGGGAGGGACTGGCCCAAAGTCCCCCAGGAATCTCTAGCTGAGGGGGGACTTGAACCCAGGTCTCCCCATTCCCAGTCCATCCCCTTCAGTAGTAGTCACCCCCCTCCCCAGCTCTGCAACAAAGCCCTGTCTCAGAAGCAGGGTTCATGCTTAACCCATCCAGAAGGGTTGGACCAGCGTTTCTCGAGCTTGGCGACTTTGAGATGTATGGACTTCAACTCCCAGAATTCCCCAGCCAATTCTGGGAGTTGACGTCCACACATCTTAAAGTCGCCAAGCTTGAGAAACACTGGGTTGGACTAACAGTGCCCAGCACCAGGTTTTGCGGAAGAATTTATTCATTCAGCCCTTCTTCCCCCCCAGATGTACAACATTATTTGTTACCTTTGTACTCCAAAAACCTTGAATTTCCCCCAATCCAGCCAGCCTCTGTTCATGAGTTTTGTTTGATGCTGGGCTGGGCTGGGCTGGGCTGGGGGGCTTTATACCCACAGCCCCTATCCTGGCCAACCGCTCTCCTGTTCACGGAGACTAACTCAGCGGGGGACGAAGGGTCAAGGTCTCAAACCCTCTACAAATATTGTTTCTGTATTGCTGCAAAACCTGTTGCTCCTCAGACAGATGTGTTCCTAGGTTTGGATCCCGTGCAAAAGGAGTTTAAACCAACCCCTCCTTTCAGTGTTCATGCACCTTCCCGTAGCGCCAGACTGTGGGAATTCATGGCAGCCCAGAATTTGTTGGACATGGCAGGTGGGAAAACAGCTTAGGGCCTAATTATGGGAGGGCATAATTATTTGGCACATCTGGAGGGCCCCTAGTTGGGAGAAGATGCCAGGAAGGCTAAAACCTCCCACGCCGGACAGACTTAGAATTAACTAAAGGTCACTGCCATCCTTCTCAAAGGAAGTGAGCCAAGTCACAGAGTTATGAAAAGGGAGATGTTTTCACCCACTGAATTATTAGCTGGTTTAGTCACTCCACTCTAAATGTGCCAGTCTGCCACCCGGGAACATGCAAACGGGCTCTAACCCCCAACTGGCAAGGTGGCCCTCATTATTTCTCAGATTCCACTTGGTGCAGTCCGGCAGGTTAATTCCCAGGTAGCCAATTGTGCATTGCAGGCTGCAAATTCAATCCGGTTGCAGCGTGGAGCACGTCGAGTGGAATACAATGGGGCTTGCTGACAGATTGGAAGTGAATGATCAGGTCGCCAGGCCCCAGTTTTAGAGAATTGCTGGCAAAGCCTTTATGGCAGGGTTCAGGGGCCCCAGCCCCAATCCTAATTTCAAAAGTCCTGCCATGTTAGCTCTCTGGCCTCTGCAAAATGCCCCGTTTTGGCAGTTGGCTGGAGAAGAGAGGATGGGGGGGGGGGGGGGG